GCTTTATAGAGCACATGCTAAAACCGAGTGTGACAAAGTAAAAGCATTGTTGGATTCTTTGGTAGTTGATTATGAGAAGAGAGGATCTTTAGTGAGAAGTGAAGAGCATATTTCATCTTCAAGTGTTAATAATGTGTCAGCAGCTACTTCTGATTTGGATGATATGGAGTGGGAAAGACATGTTTCTACGATGCCAAGGAAAAAGCGTTTACGATCGGAAGTTGATGTTTATTTAGATGATGATGTGATGATAGCAGATCCTGAAAAGTTTGATATCCTTGTTTATTGGAGTGTTGTAGCAAAACAATTTCCCATTCTTTCAAAGATTGCTAGAGATATTTTGGTCATTCCTATTACTTCAGTAGCCTTAGAAAGTGCTTTTAGTGCAAGTGGTAGAATCATTAGTCCTAGTCGAAGTCGACTACTTCCCAAAACAGTGGAAGCACTAATGTGTCTTAAGAGTCGGAGGTTTTCGCAATTTGAAGGTAACACAAATTATTTATTGTTTACATAATAGTGCTTGACTGTTTGTCTATAATGATAATTGTTTTATGCTTGAGTTATTTTATAGGTACATGTAAGGATAATGCTTTGGAATGTTCAAGCATTTTAGTTGATGAAGATGTCCAGGAAAAGATTAAGAGGTATTTTTTAGTAGATAAATAGTTAATTCTTATATATTTCCATTTAAAATTTCTTTTAACGTTAAGAACTTTGTATTTTTAGGATGGAGATGCTGAAAGCGATGAGGATGATATTTAATCATATAGTTGGAAGATTGATTTTCCATTTTGCAGTTGGTAGTTGGCCCAATATTTTATGAGTTTTGATAAGTATTTGTGTAACTTTGTTATATTTTTATGTATTTCTATTGGGGTGAAATCTTGTGTGGCACAAGATGAAAATATTCCCTAAAATATATTCACATGTTTTGACTATTATTAGGACATTTATTATAAATATATTAACATTATAGTGTCTTAAAATGTGAAATCTTTTTATTCATTTGAATTGTAATTGAACTATTGCATGTATTTGTTATTTTATTCTACTTCTTAAAAAATCAGAAAAAAAACTGATATGTTTGGACATTTAAACTGGTAATGGTCAGGCACGCTAGTCAGGTTTTCGGGTCGGTCGGCTCGGGCGGCTCAGGCGGGTTAGTCGGGTCGGTTGCGGTATCAAGCCTCGGTTTGCATAGTCCGGTTCGGGTTTGGGTAGCAAATCCGAACCGATGGTTCGAATTCAGGCAAAAAAAATGACCGATCTGTGTTTCGGGTGAAGGTATATCCGAACCGAACGCGACCGATTGCCATCCCTAACCACCTGGCTTGCTGGATTTGGGATTGGCTTTGGTCTCTGGTATCACATATTTCATATCTAGAATTTTACATCCGAGCATATCTAACATTGCTTCTAAGTATCTATTATCTAACATGGCATGAATGGCTAACGGTGCACGTTAAATGATTTGGGTGTAATTGGCTACCACTCACTGTATCTCCCCTTAATATATACCGTGTTTTTGGCCGACTTTTTTCAGGTAGTTACAATGATCAAATTTTTTTCTTCCCAATGAAGAATGACATTCTTATATGCACTTCGAGCTTCATTTGTCACTAGACTCACCTCTATACTAATCGTTGTTCTATTTGGGGGCAACAAACAATTCAGGAAGAAGATTGGCTTTTGGAGGAGGCATACTATTCGGAGATGAAAGACGCGGGGTTCTGTTATACCCAAATCGGGGGTCTAAACGAGTTGTTACTTTCAGGAGGAATCAAGGAATGATTCAGCTTTGAGTTCAGGGTTCTGGAGCAGGAGATAATCGATTATGGCTAGGTGATAATCGATTGTGAATTGGTGTGGCTGAAACCCAGAAACGTCAGAGTAAGCAGATAGTCGATTATCAGTATATGATAATCGATTATAGGAGCTCGCAGTTTATTCCAACGGAATTCAGCAGGGGACGACAGTCGACTATCAAATGTTGATAATCGATTATTGGACTTTGCAGCACACGCCAAGAAAGTCCTGAAGGGTGAGATAGTCGATTATCTTAATTGATAATCGATTATCAAGGCAATCAGGATCAGGAAACCTGGGCGGGTAATCGTGGTGCTTGTGTGGGAATGGCTGGGATTTGTGGAGATGATGAGGGAGTTCTTTTGGGTATTTTAATTGGAAGAAAAGAATGAGATTAAGAGGAGAAATGGGGAGGTACGAAATGGGAGAAACATCAGGGATGGAAAAACCAAGTTGGTATTTAAGAGATACTACACACTCTTATCCTAACTTGAGGTTTGAATCTAGAATTTAATTAAGATATGACACACTTAATCAAATATCTAGAACCTAAAACTCACACTTAAGATAACCACTCTTAAGATATAGAATTAGG